AAAATTGCTTGAACTTAGGAGGCAGAGATTGCAGTGAGCCGAGATTGCGTCACTGCACTTCAGCCTGGGCAACAGAGCAAGACTCTGCCTCAAAAAAAAAAAAAAAAGAAAGAAAGAAAAGGCAGAAAGAAAAAAGAAAAAAATAATTAGGGTGAACATGAACACTGGAAAGAAATGAAAATGAAAATGTAGCTTTCTTGCCAATAAGATTATTTTATACATAGAAAACCTACCAGACTGCTAAAAGACTACTAAAATTCATAGGGTATAATACAATGTAAGGGGCTGGATACAAGGTAACATTATAAAAGCAGACAGCTTCTTTTTTTTTTTTTTTTTTTTTGAGATGGAGTCTCACTCTGCCACCCAGGCTGGAGTGCAGTGGCGCAATCTTGGCTCACTATGATCTTCGCCTCCCTGCGACCTCCACCTCCCAGGTTCAAGCGATTCTGAGATTCTGCTACCTCAGCCTCCTGAGTAGCCAGAATTACAGGCGAGCGCCACCATGCCCGGCTAATATTTGTATTTTTAGTACAGACGGGGTTTCACGATGTTGGTCAGGCTGATCTCGAACTCCAGACCTCGTGATCTGCCCACCTCGGCCTCCCAAATTGCGGGGATTACAGGCATGAGCCGCCGCGCCTGGTCAAAAGCAGACAGTTTCTCTCTACAATAACAAAGAGCCAATGGAAACAAATTGCATAAATAATGATAGCAAAAACTATATAAAATACGTAAGTGTAACTTTGTTATTATTATTTTTTTTGAAACAAAGTCTCCCTCTGTCATCCAGGCTGGAGTGCAGTGGTGCAATCAAGGCTTTCGCAATCAGGCGATCTTTCCACCTCAGCTTTTTTTTTTTTTTTTCGTACAGACGGCAGTCTCCCTGTGTTGCCCAGGCTGTTCTCCACTCCTGGACTCAAGCAATCGCCCTCCTCGGCCTTCCAAAGTGCTGGGATTACAGGGATAAGCCACCGCGCCCGGCCAGAATAAACATTTTAAGGAGGTGGGCCTATACGATTACAAAAAGAGAAAAATTTTGACTAATATAAAATAGTCGGCCTGGCGCGGTGGCTCACGCCTGTAATCCCAGCACTTTGGGAGGCCGAGGCGAGTGGATAGTTTGACTCCAGGAGTTCTAGACCAATCTGGGCAACATGGCGAAACCCCATCTCCACTAAAAATATAAAAATTAGCCGGGCTTGGTGGCGCGCGCCAGTAATCCCAGCGACTCGGGAAGCCGAGGCACGAGAATCGCTGGAAACCGGGGAGGCGGAGGTTGCAGTGAGCCGAGATCGCGCCACTGCCCTCCACCCTGAGCGACAGAGTGAGACTCCGTCAAAAAAAAAAAAAAAAAAAAAAAAGACGGTGTATACAACATATTCTTGATTGCAGCTAAAGATATTCTTAAGGAAAAGGGCATGCTCTTAAAATTTTTTTTAACAAAGAAAGGCTGAGCATTAATGAATTAACATTCAATTTAAGAAGTTAGATAAAGAGAAAACAGTACAGATAAGAGCAGAAATTAAAGAAATAGAAAACAAAGGTACATCAGAAGAGATATGTGATCAGAGGAGCAACAACGTCAAAAGTTGTTTTTTTGGAAAGGCTAATAAAATTAGCAAACCTCTGGGAATACTGAAAAAGGAAAAACCCAAAGCACACACTATTAAGGCTGGACATCAAGACACAGCAGGGAATCTAAAACCTGACTACTCCAGAGGCCCTCATCCCTGACACTCATAGATTCCCATTCATTAGGTTCTTTATTTCCCCACCAGTTGACACCACAACTGCCAATGCATCATCCCCCGAAGCCAACAAAGCTTCAAAATCACCTGAGCGACTATCACGCCATAAAACCTCGTGCACTGCATTTAGCGTCGCGCGCCAAGAAGGCTTAAACGGCCTCTGAGGGGGATTTCCGTTTCCTGTCCTCACCCCGACACTGCACCTTCTAGGGCTGTTGATTTTGCACACGATCAGTAGAACTGAGAGGTTGTAGTCTACTCACTGAACACAGCCCTGTTACGGATCGGCGGAGACTTGGTCCATGAGTGGCGTTGTCAGGTGAGGAATATGGCTGCGCTATGTCGTGCCTCATGGGGGCGGCCATCTTAGCACCCATTCCGTACAGTGGGCTGTTCCACAGAAGGCGGGGGCGAGAGGGCGTTCACGGGTAGAATCCTTCTAGGGGCAAGATTCTGGGAGAAGCTGGTCTTTGGAACTCGGTTCTATAAGTTTGGGCAAATTTTAAAGAAGCAGAGGTGCGCCTCCTACCCAGGGAGGATGGGGCGTGTTCTGATGTTCAAGGGATCCACCACTGGGCAAGAGGAAGAAGTCAGGGTGGTACAATCCCCCCCTTGGCGATACCACTGGGAAGAGGGGGAGAAATCAGGTTACCACAGGTGCCCGTCGTGGGCGATACCACTGGAGAAGAGGGGAAAGGAGTCAGGGTGTACAATCTCCCGATATGCTGCGGTTACCATGGAGAAGACTTGAACTCCCCCATCTCCGTTACCCTCCTTGCCCCACTACAATGATAGTAGTTAGGAATAATAATAATAATAATAGTCTTTGCTATGGACAACCAATGGTTTTTCTTTCCTTTATTTATTTATTTATTTATTTATTT